TTTATCAACTTTTTTCTTCCATTTTTCGCATTCATAATTTAAGGTTTCCCCGTCAAGCAGTCTTTCAGGTCTATCTTTATTTCTTCCTTTTCTCTGCCCTCCATCATCTTCGACACAGTTGCTTTCATCCAGGGCTTCGTCATCTACAATTTCTGAATATTTCAAAGATACATTCTCTATTTCTCTTTCCCTTTTGGGTTCAATTTATTCAATTTCATTCTACTAACATTGTTCATTTCAGCTAATTTTTGATAATCTATCAGTGCTCCCTTTTGTTTCTCTCTTCCAACTTTTATCCTGTCTACTTCCATTCTGTCACTATCCATAGAGTAACTTTCGACTTTCTCAAGGTTCTTGCTTTCACACTCAAATTCTTCGACCAAGTCATCATTATCATTCTCATTACTATTATAGTCACCTAAATTTTTGTTCTCGTTCATATACTCCTTCTGTTTGTCCTGGTAGATATTCATCGCAAGGTTGATATTAAATAGCTCATCCTCAAGAGCTTTTTATCCAGTTGACATTTCTGGCATGAGGACTCCAGATCCATAAATGTCAGCTGCTTGCATAAATTTCTTACTTTGTAAAACTTCAGTTTCTTTTATATCCTTGAAATCTTCACAAGGAATCTATTTATCATAATTTTGGGAACTTGGATCGGTATTGTATATAGCATCATGATAATCCATATTAGCAGCTTTTTGATAATATTTGAATGCTTTATGTTTGTCTTTTTCAATTCTATTTCGTTTGTCTTTTTTGACTCCAATTCGTTCATTTTTCTTGATCCCAATTCCATCATCAGTATCTTTTAAATACTGTTTAAATGCTACCTTTTCACTCTTGATTTTATTTATATCTTTATCATAGCATTGTCCAGTACTTTGTTGTCTAGATGAATCATCATTTTTAGCTGATTTCGAATACCAATTAGAAACTTCATTTCTATTATTTACTAATCTACTTTTCTCTTTTTTTAGATTTTTTTTTCCAGATTCACATTTATTACTTTCAAGGTTTAAAAGAACTATCAAAGTGTTCTTGCAAGGGCTATTTACTGGTACCAGGCTTTCTTTATTCCTCTTATCCAGTTTACTTTCTTCTTTGAGCATGTTATCCACAAATTCTAATATAAATTCTAGGGCCCCAGGAATCTGCTTAGCATTGAGGGAGTATCCAAAATTTGTATCTATCATTTCTTGAATCTCCTGAAGTTGCTCTTTAGTATATGTTGTAAGAAGCCTAGTACACTTTAGCTTAATCTTCTGACTGCTGGGCACATGGATACAATGTATCCTTTTCTATTGCAATAGGGACATTGGAACTTCTTTTGAAAGGACTTTGGTGTCAGTTTATAAT